AATCGTTTCTGTTGCAATTTTAAAATAATAGTTAACAAAATGTTGTTTAGATGGCGATACAGAATACATTACAATAACTACCAATATTCTTCAGATCCTTCAGGCTCCTTCACTCCAGTCTCCAGGAGCTACAAGATGAAAGTGTTGGATAACGGAACACTGGTGATTAACGACGTTAAGGAGACAGATTCAGGAACGTACCTGTGTCAGACTGATAACGGAGTGGGGGAAAAGTTGGAGAAAGCTGTCTGTCCACGGTAATACTTCTTATTCGAGTGGTGGTTTAGGAAGTCCCCGAGTATTCAAAGATTATTAAGTCTGATAAAAATACCTTGTTAAACTAACTGTTAAGCCTTTTGTGGTATCGTTAGTTGATACTAGTAACAACTTTATTTAACTAACTATTAAGCCTATCGTTACTTGATACTAGTAACAACTTTATTTAACTAACTATTGAGCCTATCGTTACTTGACAGTAGTAACAACTTTATTTAACTAACTGTTAAGCCTATGTTGGCATTGTTACTTGATATTATTAACAACTTTATTTAACTAACTGTTAAGCCTATGTTGGTATCGTTACTTGATACTAGTAACAAATTTATTTAACTAACTGTTAAGCCTATGTTGGTATCGTTACTTGATACTAGTAACAACTTTATTTAACTAACTGTTAAGCCTATGTTGGTATCGTTACTTGATACTAGTAACAACTTTATTTAACTAACTGTTAAGCCTATGTTGGTATCGTTACTTGAAACCTATCGTTACTTGATACTAGTAACAACTTTATTTAAAATGTTAGAAATAATCTTAAAGTATGAAATATCTGAAACAAAAATAACTCTAGATCTTTATATCGTCTGGAACATTTTGTCATGAATGTTTTGGTAACAGAATATCATTCATTAAAAACGATATAAAGATTATCTGTTGTAGGGAAAAATGTTTAAATTACTAAACTGTGTTTTTTAGTTTATTTATAATTTTATTTAAAAATATGAAAGTTTTATATTTAAGTTGTAATTGCGTCAAGTGTTATGTTTGTTTTTCGACAGTGCCTCCATCTATTGAGAAATATAGCGAAATTGTTACTGTGCAGCGTGGATACACAAAGAGTGTACGATGTATTGTAAGAGGAGAGCGACCTCTGGTGGTTAGATGGCTAAAAAACAATCATGTGTTGGAACCTTGGTCGAACCGGTAATTTTTTAACTTTTCTTATTTGACGTAAATATCAAAATAATTCAGTAAAATGTCGGTTCTAATCTGATACGAAGTTTTATTTTTAAACTTGAGTTTTCTGTATCACTACAGCCACGAAACTTACAGTAAAGAAACTACAGTTGGGACTAACTCTACTCTCGTCATCAGAAATATTCAAACTCAAGATGCTGCCCTCTATACGTGTTCTGTAGAGAACTCGTACGGAAATGACAGCTGGAATATCAAGATGATTGTGAATGGTAAGCCTTAATTTATATATTGTTTGTACGTCTGTTACTTAGGTATCAAAATATTATACATTCAAAACAAAGTAATTAAGTAACCCTAATTTATTAATATAAATATTGTGGTTGTGTTTCTAAACAATAACCTTTGGTTATATGTAAGTAATCCTTACTGATATATAAATGTAACATTTATTTAAAGGTTATTTATATTTGTGTAACTTTTATCATATATTTATATTAACTGTTAATATAAAAATAATAACAGTGTAAAAATTAACCAAATAAACATTCATTATTTTATTATTTTTTAAAAACAGAACCACCCCAGAGTCCTTCGAATATTGTTGTTGGAGACGTTCGTAGCAGGGTTGCTAAGGTCAGTTGGAGGTCATCACCGACACGGTCAGCGGTCACACAGTTCATTGTTCGCTTCTGGGAATCATCAAGTAAGATTTGTTATATTTCACGGTATTTATTATTGTAATTGTTATTAATCCTGTGTTTAGAACAAACGATTACAAGAAACAAGCGGTAAAGTTGTATGGTTGTATTGTAAACAATGTTTATATAGTTATATCTAAACACAGGATTAATAACAATTAAAATAATAAATACCGTGAAGTAATCGTTTGTTAAGAAACAAGCGGTAAAGTTGTATGTTGTATTGTAAACAATGTTTATATC